AAAACCACCTCCCCTTTCCCAGGGACCCTCCCCCCCCCCATCATTCCCAGCCGGATGCTCCCGGAATCCCCAGAATTCCCGGGAATGCGCGGTGCTCACACTGGTCCAGGGGCGGGGGGACGCTGCCCTTCACCCAGGGGGTGTGGTCGTCCACCATGTTGATGGTGAGGTTGGGGTGCCAGTGGGAGATCACCTCCACGGGGCCGAAATCCTCCGCCCTCTGCAATGGGGAGCGGACACAGAGCCCTCGGTGGATCCATCGGTGGATCCCTCGGTGGATCCCTCAGTGGATCCCTCCGTGGGTCCCTCAGTGGATCCCTCAGTGGATCCCTCAGTGGATCCATCAGTGGATCCATCAGTGGGTCCCTCAGTGGATCAATCAGTGGGTCCCTCGGTGGATCAATCTGTGGGTCCCTCAGAGGATCTTTCAATGGATCCCTCAGTGGATCCATCAACGGATCTGTCAGTGGGTCCCTCAGTGGATCAGACAGTGGGTCCATCAGTGAATCCCTCAGTGGATCCGTCAGTGGATCCCTCAGTGGATCCGTCAATGGATCCCTCTGTGGATCCCTCAGTGGATCCCTCCATGGGTCCCTCAGTGGATCCGTCAGTGGATCCCTCAGTGGATCCGTCAGTGGATCCATCAATGGATCCATCAGTGGATCCCTCAGTGGATCCATCAATGGATCAATCAGTGGATCCATCAATGGATTCCCTCAGTGGATCCATCAATGGATCAATCAGTGGATCAGTCAATGGATTCCCTCAGTGGATCCATCAGTGGATCCCTCAGTGGGTGCCTCAGTGGATCCCTCTGTGGATCCATCAATGGATCTGTCACTGGATCCCTCAGTGGATCTGTCACTGGGTCCCTCAATGGATCCCTCCATGGATCCCTCAGTGGATCCGTCAATGGATCAATCAGTGGATCCGTCAGTGGGTCCCTCAGTGGATCCATCAATGGGTCCATCAGTGGATCTGGCACCGGATCCGTCAGTGGATCTCCCAATGGATCCATCAGTGGATCCGCCAATAGATCCGTCAGTGGATCAGTCACTAGATCTGGCACCGGATCCATCAATGGATCCGGCAATCCCCCCTCCCACACCCCAAATCCCACCCCTCCATCCCAATTATTCCATGGAGATCATCCCCTCCATCCCAATTATTCCATGGAGATCATCCCCTCCATCCCAATTATTCCATGGAGATCATCCCCTCCATCCCAATTATTCCAAGGAGTTCATTCTCTCCATCTCAACTATTCCATGGAGATCATCCCCTCCATCCCAACTATTCCATGGAGATCATCCCCTCCATCCCAAAAACCTTCCAATTATTCCATGGAGATCATCCCCTCCATCCCAATTATTCCATGGAG